CTGTAACACCAAATATATATGAGAGTAGTTTCAGGAGGTTATATCAAATAATCATTGAACCATTGACACCTAAAAATATGCAAAATACAGTCAGAAATGGTGAAATTGTGATTGTGAAAAAATGTATGTATTCTTAACAATTTTTTAACTAAACTGTATTTTATTTAGAACTGAAACTTGAAGTGCTTACTAGGAGTTACATCTAGTTATTATTTATTAAGTGACTTCAGCATCCGGATTGATATAATATAGGAATATCCTATGGTTTTGAAAAAATATCATTTATATATCCATGAGTGGATATTGATATTTTCATGAGTAAGCGCAGCGAGTGAGTGAAGATATTTGTATCCATGAGTGGATATAATTGATAATTTTGAAAAAAAAATTATTTATCCCATGGGAAATCATCATCAGCGAAAAAATGTGAAAAATATAATTCGAGAAAAAATTTGAAAAAATAATTGAAAAAAAATTGTGAAAAAATGTTGAATTTTTTTTTAAATATTTTTGAAAATAATTAAAAAATGTAAAAAGAAATTTTTTTTTGAAAAAATTCGAATCCATGGAATATCACTTTTCAAACCACCGAATATCACTTTTTAAGACGTGATATTCGATGGTTTGTGAATTTTTTGCGAAAATATTATAACTTGATCCACATATCAAATATATCTTCATGTGATATTCGATCTATATCCTTGCAACCATGGGATAATTATAGGATATCCTATGATTTTGAGGAATATCATTTTTATCATGCATATATCAATATCACCGAGTAGATTAAAATGATATTCTGAAAAAATCATAGGATGTGCTTATTATCCTACACTTACAAGGAGTGTACTGAATGTATAATATCATTGTAAAATTAATTTCATGCCAAATAGAGTCAATTTGGCGGGAAATCAACAAGCGGAGTATATCGTCACAATATCCTCCGCATATTGGGTTTTCCGGAGTATATCGTCATGATATCCTCTGCCCGGAGTTACGATATCCGATATGTTACGATATCCTCCGGATATTCATTTTGCCAATAAAGATTAAATTTATTTTTTCATGTTATTATACATTTAGTACACTAAGTGTAGGATAATTATAGGATATCCTATGATTTTGAGGAATATCATTTTTATCTACGAGGTGATATTGATATCTGCACGAGAGAGCGAAGCGAACGAGTGCATATATCAATATCACCGAGTAGATTAAAATGATATTCTGAAAAAAATCATAGGATGTTCTTATTATCCTACACTTACAAGGAGTGTACTGAATGTATAATATCATTGTAAAATGAATTTCATGCCAAATAGAGTCAATTTGGCGGGAAATCAACAACAGTATATCGTCACAATATCCTCAGCATATTGGGTTTTCTGGAGTATATCGTCACGATATCCTCCGCCCGGAGTATATCGTAACGATATCCTCCGGATATTCATTTTGCCAATAAATATCGAATTTATTTTCTCATGTTATTATACATTTAGTACACTAAGTGTAGGATAATCACTGATATGCTTAAGACCAAAAAACCTATAAAGAATGTTATTATTGAATACTGAGAATACATTGTTTTTACATTACGGAGCTTTATTTCTACCTGAAAGTATTTTGGAACATATCTCTTGCTTAAATATTTCATGCAATGTTACTTCCAAAAACTTTCTTAGAACAATTAGTCCATCCTATATTTTCACATGTTATTCTCCATTTCGTTTTTAAAAATTGTGGGAGCTTTAAACTCTAGAAGAGCTTAATTACCAATTATACCATGCACCCTCTTTGCCCTCCGTCGCATTTTTCTTAGAATGGCCAGGCATATTTCAAATTGAAGAGTAAAATCAGTTAAAGTGATATATAGCTGTATATAACAACATATCTTTCACTTGATACTGTGATGTCAAGCTTCAGCATTCAAACAGTGTATTTTGTCCCAAGATACAATAAAGTACTGATTTCATTTATTTATCAATTCAGATGCCTTGGAATCAAAGTAAACACTTGGTATATATTACCAATATTATTTTTACCTATTATTTGTGGTACAATGACCAGGTTTCCTTTAATGTCTTTGGTCTTACTGTGCAGTTTGTAAAAAGAAAATTCAGAAAGTTGCAGTCTTAGATGAAAAACTGGTGAAAATCATACTTGCTACAGCTTTTCCCATTTTCAGAAGCCAATAGATCTGTATTTCCACTTACTATGACGTTAAGTCTTCTCGTATTATTGGTGGTACTAACTGGAGGCAGAATCAGAAATTATGTCAAATAAAAGTAACATTTAAGAGATAAATTGTTCTGAATAGTGCATCTTTCATATTTTTCACGATATCTGACAGGTTTTTTGTCCTTTTGCCTCTTTTTAAAAGTACATGCAGAAGTGAATATTTGATCTAGAGCTCTGAAACTTCCAATATCAGAACTTGGTAGCATTATGTCTTGGTATCTTATGTTTTGGGTCTAAAAAAGTCACAGATGTTGAGAAAAATATTCATTAAGCAGCAGTTTCAGTTCAAAGTAAGTTAAAACTGCACTCACGACAGCTTTCTCTATTTTTGAACGCCGATAGATCTGTAAGTATTAGTATTAAGACCTTGAAACTGCTCATATTATGTAGTATTTGTGGTACTTTCTCATTGCAAAGGTAATTTGGAAACACTGTGACTTACATTTCATGCGTTAGTGAACACTGAAAATGAACCAGCCTATTAGATTTCATCATGATACATTGTACAAAATTGAAAACGTATATATAAAATATGTAGAGTCCTATATTTTAGTAATGAATGAATTACAATGTCAAGTAACAAGTGAAAATGTTAAAAATGCATTGATTTGCTTTCTATCAATATAAGTTTTTAATTGTATGCTGCAAAATGATAACATTGACCACGCCCACTTTCCAGGGGTAGGGTACTATAATGTCATATTAAAAATCATAAATAGTACATTATCATTATTATAATTGTATTACAATATCAAACAAAGCTTGAATTAGTTTTTAGAAAACAATTTTGAGCTATTTAAGCTGCCATCTTTTGCTGGAAGCTACAAATATAAGATACGTGAGACTTAAAAATGACTAAAATTGCATATTTTTTTCCTATTAATTGCAATATTTCTGAGACTAATACAGATATCGGCCTATAACTTTAGGATATTATTCATCTTTGGACTAGTAATGTGTGCTGTAGAAAGCAGAACAATAGCAACTATATTCTTTATGTTATGAAATATTCTTATAGTACCCCCTGAAATCGCTGGAATTGAAGTCCAATTCGGCCGTGAAAATTGTTTTTACCACTTTAAAGGCCATCACCTTATATTTTCTTACACCTACTAGGTTACTCTAACATACTGCATTGCCAAAAGTTACTTCTTGCAAACTTCCGGCAAAACTGTGCCAGCATCTGATACATTAGGTTCAATAAAATGATATTTCATAGCGCTTTAAGCTAATCATGCCTATTTGTAACAATTGGCCACTGAGTTACGAATGAAGAGTATGTAGACTGATAATATATTATCCTTTATGCGATTACTTGGATATAGATTCAGTGTCTAATCTCGAGGGATATGAATTACTTCCTGCTTGGTTTTGCCCTTAGTGTCAGAGTCGAGTACATTTGCAGATGAAGTTCTCTTTTAGAAGCAAAGCGAAACTATTAGAAACTCTTCGTTTATCTTTGGTCCTACGTGTCGGGTCAGGATAAGCCATCTCTTAAAATGCAATGTGTATTTTGTATGTAGTGACTGATATGTCATTTACATGACATGGTTATTGAGTCAATAAAAGATATATATATATAAATTTAGGAATTTTTTTAACCATTATCCAAAAAAGGGAGGTTAAGCTACACATATGTATTTAAGAGAACTTGTACGTAAATGTAAAATATTATGACCCCCAAGGATTACTGTACTCCTTTCAATTGTTATTTCTTAAACCTAAATACAACTTCCAGAGATGCCACTGGATATTCTTTCCATATATGGGTATCACGTTGTCATGTCGCGAATACAAAATTCAAAATCAAGAATATCGGCCATTTTCCTTGCATCTGTAGAAATATACAAGCACGAATAACAATATCGCATCACATTGGTGATTAAAGAACATCGAGTTGGAACCCTTAGGCTCCCAATCTCCCTTGTATTTTCCTTATACTATTATACTCAATTAGGCAAGTAATTAATACCAAGGGAGGACTAATTCCTAGAGGTTCATGTTCTTTTTAAAACCTTAACTCATTTATAAACTTGTATTTGGAGCTGAGATAATATGCAAGAAAACAATTATAGTGTAAGTCTATGCAGCCTTATCTCTAAAGTCGTATATGTCAAGAAGGACTCTTGTAAATATAGCTTATTGGTATTCATTGATTTAATTGCACTAAGTTTAGCGCTATCTAATATGGACCTCTTATATTTGATTTAAACATGAGTTTTTGAGTCCGGTACTTATGAATAATCACTGTATGTCCAACTAGAAGAGTGTCATATTGACCGCAATGCTTCCAATATTGGCCTTTGGGCTTGGTTTTTATGGTCTCAAATATAGCTAACACTATATTTGGCTTCCACTGGGGCTATAGACTTGAATAATTGAAAATTGTCCATTTTTTGCTTCAAGTATGACTCTCAATATATGTTTTTGTTCGGTTACAAATAATTAGAATTATTATCTCTTTGTCATGTTACTCATTCTGTGATTGGTTAAACACTTAATGACATAGATATAATGAACTATTAGTGCAATCTTACTTTTTGGTTTGATATAATAAACATAATGGTTCCTATTACAACAATCCATTCAAAAATTATTCCATGTTTGCTCCTACATGAGACCACACAATTTAAAAATCTCTGGTGTCTCTGGCAATTAATATGATTCAAGTATGTTTGTATTTTTATGCTCAGTGGGGCTATGGGCCTAAGTTTCTTTGACATGAATCAATTATTGAATAAAGTTTCTATTTTTATTTTCAGTGGGGCTATAGCCTTAGGTTTCTATGGAAACGAGAGTGGCAACAAGGGAGTCCTTAAGTTCATGGAGGCTACAGAAAATACAGACAATACAATACATACAATACAAAAACAGGTAAAACAATATACAATTATTAGAGATCATCGTGTCCATTCCTTTGGTCTTCATTTCCCTTGTTAAATACTATGTAGATCAAGAAGAAGGAACAGAGAATGCAAAATGCAGAATGAAGGCCACCTTGATCCATCATGGTATTATATGACAAAAGGAACCAACTGGTTTAATATTATGGAATATGGCATCTCCATCAACTTATAGTGGATAATCAATGATACAAAGCTAATGTGTATATAATGGAATCTTGAGATAGATATTTCATGTATATTATTGCATTAAATCATTTTTGTTAATTGGTGATTTATTTGGCGATTTTGGTTTAATTTTTTCATTTTTCATTCCTATCAACTATAAATAACTACTTTTCAGTGTTTCACTATAACGAAAAAAAACATTGTATTATTATACCACCACCACGTGATGACATATTGCTATGGTCTCCAACTATTTCTTTATGTGGATGGTGTTTTGCATTCAGCATTTAAAATTTGTTACAAATGGCAGGTGCCTCATTTTAACATTATTAATCAAACATGAAACAATGTTTTTTTTCAGTTATCACAACTGCAAACTAATTTAAATAAGACAGTCGGAGGTGGAATTGTAGGATTAAACCATTTGTTTGCAAATGACACTAAACATATAACAGAGGAGAAATTACGTAGAAAACTCATTGGATTTACTACAAAAGCTGAGGATCAGGCTAAAACTGTAGCGAATGATGTAAAAAACATACAAGATCAAGTAAATTATGTAAAGTTATCTGGTTTGGCTGATCCAGTAGCAGAAGTTGAATATATCAGGTAGGTTTAATTTGTAATAACGCATCATGCTTTCATGGTGTATTGTTGTTTGTGAAATTTTACCCTATCTTAATGAAATCGCATCAAACTGATTGTAAAAGGCTTTTATACTTATGATGTTCAGTTAGTTGTATAATATTTCACAGATCAACATCATTTTCATATTGGCTATGAAAAGTGTTGCGACTTTAAGCCTGAGTCACACTTGCTGTAAAGTGGCCATGCAGCGGCCATATTTTCACAAATTTGATAGAAAAATCTACATCTCACTGCTTATCCTTATACTTTATGCTGCATATTTCTTTTGATTTTGGAGCTACGACCACCGTACATTTGCTGTTGCTCAAATGTAACTGAGGCATTAGTCATCTCACTCATTCACATTCACACTTAATAGAAGAAGTCTTAATTAGAAGATTATTAATTTTCGTTAGTCAATTTAAAATTGTTACATATTTAAAGCTATAGATCCCGTGGTCTCAAAATCAAAGAAAGTCGTAAGAGAAATTAATTTCAAGAGTGCCTTGGATTAGTCCTAGATGTAATTACAACTTGATTTATTTTGATTGATTGAATTCAGCCTTGCATTCTAAGATAATTTGGTTTTGCTGAAACTCTCTGAATACTATAACAAATATAACAATTTTAAAAGAAATAGTATAGTCTCGAAATTTAGAAAATGATGTAAATTGAGACGTTTCACATGTTTAATACAATAAAACTATACATATTTTTGTTTCTATGTTTCAGATGGGTGGCTATCATAGCATTCCTGTGCTGGCAGATACTTGTTTGTCTGTTGATCCTAATGGGTGTGGGACTTGGATCCCGCTGTCTCCTTATCACGTTAGTATACAACAAATATTTCAATTGAAAAATGTGTCAATTGTACGATTTGAACTCCCTAAAACCTTAGATACCTCCTTTAGTTTTGAATCTCAATTCTGTTTGACTGTTGACTGGCTTGTTTTTCGTGAGGTCATGGTATATCACAATTAAGGAGACACATCAACCATATCCCATTGTCTCCTTAAGGAGAAACCTGTCAACCAACCAAAAGTTACATGAAAATTAGTTGAAACAATTTGAATATGTTTGCACAAGTGGTAAATTGGGAAAACCAAACAGTGTTGAAAAATTAAAAAATATCAATTTACCATTTTTAATTCAAGAATTTGGTTCAAAATGAAGGACAGTAAAACCTGTCTAAGTAGGACACCTTTGGTACCTGTAAAAAGTATTCCATTAACAAAATCTTGAGTTCTACTTCTAGAGGTTCTCCACTTTAACAGGTTTCACTGTATTTTGCAATAAACCAGGAGACAAGTATTTGAACACATTTTTCATTGCAAACACGATACAATAGAAGTTTAATTAGAGATCTCCAGATCAGAAGTAGATTTCAATTTAAGTCACATCAAACACCATATTAAACAGAAAGACGGGGTTGATATATCTGAAGAAGTTCGTATCAGCCATTGAGTGGATTCAAGTGTCATTATCTCTCTTCTAGAACACAGAATTGATGAATTGTTCAGATTGCAATATACTTTATGTTAAACTCAGTTCAGGAAGATATTAATTGACTTCATCATTCCAAGATTCTTATAGAATTGTGCTGCATATATATACATACATGTATATATCATATGTTTTTCAGGATTATGTTTTACACATAACACAAACCTTAAAGATCCCTAATGCTTATGATTCTAAATGATCTATAATATTGACTGAGATAATATACCAATATATTTGACAAGAAGCATCATATTTTTACTAATTTTGTGTTTTATGTTTTCTAGGTGTGGTGTGTTTAGTTGCATCACCATGGTGATTGTGTTCATAACTGGAGGAGCCTACTTGGGAACAGCAATTGTAAGTTAGCCTAAAAACAGAATTGCAAACCCAATCTGTATAAAGCAAAAAAGTGAGATTCAAAAGCACTCTGTCGTTATGGCTGTTTAGTCACCTATATAGACTGTTATATGAAATACAAGATACTGTATACATGTACAATTTTATAATGGGTGTATTTTTGTATGACCGTGGTGCAAGTCTTCTACTCTTCTACTTCCAACGAAAAGAAATAAGCTCTTATTGAATAATATTATCTTAATTTTCAGGGTTTCAGTGACCTTTGTGTTGCCCCAGAATTGTTCATGCACAGACATGCACACCCAAAACTGAAAGCTGGTATAGTATTAAATTCCCATTTACTTGAACCTTAATGTGTGAATAAAAATGAGATAAATTTTAGTATATTAAATCATCAGAATGTGTGATATTGATTATGCAGAAAAAATTATAAACTCAAAATGACATATTACTATGTATTGAAATTTCTATGGCTGAGCAATGGCAGGCTTTGATTGGCTCATGTAGTCTAACACTTGTAAATGGTAGACTTGACAGAATGCTGTATATATTTCCCCAATTTATGGGTGCTCCAAACATTTCAAACTTCATATTTTTGAATACATTTCTTGGAAAAACCCCAGTGACATTTATATTAAGAAATATCATGTATTTCATCTCGATTCTTCTATTTACCAAATCATTCAAAAGTTTGTAAACCTGTATTTATCAATATGTATGTTCTAATCCAGGTACAGTTGACTATTACTTACATTGTCAGTCACCAAGTCCATTTGGACAGGGCTTGAAAGAAGCTATGGATGGGGTGACGCAGACCAACAAAACCATAACACGATTACTCTCTGAGGCATACACCGTCTTCTCAAAGCAGGAGGTAAGTGCCGCCATCTAATGTGTTATCTTGGTGTAGTAACGAGAGCGATTTGTTGATGTATTTGAAAGCCATGTTTTAATCAGAAGATCTTCCTCAATTTGAGTGTACATGTACTGTACATTTTGTATGTACATGTAATTTTGTTATATTGTCCCTTTGTCCCCTTTGGTAAGGAAATTGTTGAATATGAAGCACTATAAAGATAAACAAGAAATAGTTTATTTTATGATATGTCTTTAGATATATCAACATATGCTCTTATTCAAACATGCATACATTCTTGCAATGTTGTGTGTAAACTCTCACAAAATCTTTCAAAGTGAATATCAATGCATTCCATAAAAGTGGATGGCTCTTTTGTGAGGGTTTATTTAGCGTAAGTAGTTGCATATTTTTAGTTTGTATTTTGTTACGTTTTCCTGGCCTTAATTTATTGGGACTTAAATTAATCATTAAATTCAATATGATTTAACTAAATAAGTATCAAAACAGTAACGTTTTGAGGAAAACTTCACTGAATTGATTTGTATATTGAATCAAACTAAAATAAATTAACAATGTTTTAAAGATCCTGTACTTTTATTAACTACATGAACCAGTTTTTCGTTTGACTACTCATTTATTTGGATTTAGAAATGGACTCATTATAAGATCATCATTTAATTTTTTCAACTCAGATGTATTCATACAAATCCCATCTGTCATGTTTTCATTTCTTTATATCATCATAAATCTCTTCATGGTCAAATTCTAAACACCATCCTCATGTTATTAGACCAGCTTTTAGTGAGTAACTGCAAACTAAAAGAAGTTTTCCACTTTTTCTATTTTCAAATTATCTGAAGTTCGCTATGGTAAGTCCCTTTCTGCATTAAAGCCATGACTTATTTGCTCTTTCAAAATATCTCATTGTGGTCCATTGGGAAATTACATGCAGGAGAATTTTCAAATTGCCGTAAATTATTGGATGATTCTCTTAGAAACAAAACTAAATAAATCATCTGTAAGCCTGCTTGGGGTAACCCACTCCAAGAATGGAGGAATATTACATTCAGATAAGTATGGCCACCATGGTATTTTTTGAAAGGGGTCCCCATACTTAACTTCTGTTTAGTTTAATTTTGTTCTGTGGTCTGATGGTTTAATGCTTTACTGATGACACCAACGTTTAAATTGCAAGAATAAATTTGGATCATCTTTTTACTGTTTGTACCTTTTATTGTCGTGAAATTATCTGAATTTTGTGATGTCAGTCAAATGATGATTTAGATGAGCTGATGTCTGTCAATTTGTGATGTCAACCAATGATGTCATATCTGCTCTCTATCAATGTCATATCAGCCAATAGCAAATGGTACAACATGTTAAAAGGATAATCCTTTGCATGAATGACTACCGAGTAACACAAGTATAGATCAATTAGAAGCCTGTTGTGTATTTGGTCTTTTTGGTTTGAATGTTGTGGAAGACTTATGTTCAGATACGTAGATCAGCATGGAAAGGTTTTGTGAACTTTTGAACTTTATTATTTTCATTATTATTATGTTGATATTGTTGTGGTTAAGACATACAGGTTGTCCATAAAGTCTCTAGACAATAACAATACAAGGTCTGTGTAAAGTACATGTACATTATAAAGAGACTTTATGAACATCCTGTATATCTAGACTGTAGGTATTTTGATATGTTCTTTGATATCTACAATCTACTGGGTCATTATGACATCAGATGAAGCAAATGATACCCGAAAGGTGGTTAAAAGAATTAATACACTTGGACAGTCACCATGGATACAAAGAAATTATAAGCCCATTCAATAATGTACATTCATTGGAGCAAGAGCTTCATTCAGTGATGCCAAATAATGAAACCTGACATGTTCTATCCCATTGGCTGTATACTAGACTATAGACTTCTTCAAAATTAAGAAAAAATCAGTGAAGGTTAAACTCAATGCAGCTTTTTTATATAGAAGACAGTGGAAATTCAGATTTTGTATTGGTTTGGCTAATAACACAGGACCGCAAAGATGAAATGGATCTTGACTTCCATGACATCTATATATATTTAGCAAAGGGAAAATATTATATCCAATGAGATACAGTTTGCGGCTGTGGCTCTTTGTTAAAAATAGCTTTGGTTTTGTGAAGATGCTCACTGTTGACTGTAATGTGTTTTATTTGTATTGATTCATTCATATATTTAGTCAGTCCCTAGTATAGTGCCTTGAGGTTCTGCTTTTTTCAGTTCTGTTTGTTTGCATGATGTTGTTCCAGAGTAGTCTATTGAATCCCATGATGCATTGGTGGTCACATGATTAGCAACATTCATGTCAATCACCTTTACATCATTCAATCCACAAACAACATTTTGTTGAAATTTTGGTAGTCTTTAACTGCTGAAAATTTTAAGATTGGTACTTTTGAAAACAATTATTTATATTTTCAGTAGATATGAATGTAGTTATTCAATGATATGAGTAAAATACAGAAAACATTGTACAAGAGAAACTCTGTACTTCATGAGCACTGTGGCATCAAAATACAGGAAACATTAACGCCACATTGGCCGGTCAGATGGCTAGAAATATCACAATCATTGAATAATACGAGTACTTGTTGTAATGCACTGTTTTTTGAGATAAAAATAGATGGACTCTTGGCATCTAGTACATGTACAACAATTGTACTTTTGTTACAAAGAGGCCACTGTTTACATCTACATTACTGTATTAAGTTTCAACAGCATTAGATCCATCAAAGTTATTGCTGAATCAATGAATTAGTACAAACCATGTCTAACTGGGAAAATTGGGAGGCATACTCTACATGTAAAGGTTGACACTGGTTAGCTTTCAGTTGCTCTAAAGTATAGCTATGATGTCAACCAAGATCTCTTGGTAAATGATGATTCTGGTATACCTGCAAACACAGGGAAGTCCAAACATTGGGACACAGCTAAGACTCTCTTGGGTCTTCTTGGTAAAAGTGATGATGTGAGTGTCTTGTTCATGCAGGGCATGTCATGGTGGCAATATTTTACTCACAAATGGAAGAACAAAAACCATGATATTTTCAAATTGACCAGTCTTGTCCCTGTATGATTTTGACAAAGTGTGAGCCAAGCTACAATACTCTATTTGTATTTACTGGGCTATCCCCATTTTATGACACCAGGAGTCAACTGTGACATATCCTGTGTGTGATCATGCATTTCATATTTACACAGCCATTATTAGCTTTCAGTCACATTGAAACACAGCTTTGATGTAAACCAGGAGTTCTTGCAAAATGATGACCCTGGTACTCCATCCAACCCTGAGAAGTCCAAACATTGGGACATGGCTCGCACTATTATGAACTTTTTGGGCAAAGGTGATGATGTGAGTGCTTTTAGTCATGCAGGACATGTCGAGGTGGCTAAATTTTTCTCACAAGGATGGTACAACCCTGTATTGAGATTTGACCTGTGTTTAAATACCAAGGTCCTTGAAAGTCCTTTTTTCTAGATTATGCCTAAAACACTCATCCAAGCACATGCCTTTATTCCAAGTCAGTTAAGACACAATCAAATATGTAACCATAGAATTGGTATCCTTCTTCTTTAGCAATATATCAGGTTCTCATTTGTGTCATGGCTATTCCAAGTGCACACTTCCCCTTCATGTAAGAACATAGAAGCCACCATGACATCTTCTGCCTCAGGTGCACATCATATTTACCTACAAGTGTCAGCTTTCAGTTGCTCTGAAGTATAGCTATGACGTCAACCAAGATTTCTTGCAAAATGATGACCTGGGTGTGGCTTCCAATCCTGAGAAGTCCAAACATTGGGACATGGCTCGCACTATTATGAATTTTTTGGGCAAAGGTGATGATGTGAGTGCATTAAGTCATGCAGGACATGTCCGGGTGGCTATGTTTTTCTCACGAGGATGATTATTGTGTCACAGTACAGTCATACCGGCCCAGAGCCAGATACTCTGAAATATGGTTAGCTTATTTTCAACATGTAGAGGGGAAATAACATGGTGATATCCCATTAGTGACAGTAACTGTCCCTGTATTGACTATGTTCAAAATTTAGGATGGTTTGAATTCTTGATTGGTATGGACTTCTCAGTTTGACCCAAAACCCAAATTACCTTTATGATAAATGCTTTTAAATCTGGCTTTTCTTGCCTAGTCATCATTATTCATTTGAGAGAAAGATGGCCATCGTGACAAGTTCTGTGTGAGGTATCTAGTTGACATCATATTCATCAAAGACCTGTTAGCTTTCAGTGACCCTTAAACACAGTTACGATGTCAACGAAGACTTGTTGCAAAGTGACGACAGTGGCATCCACACTAAAACAGGAGGACCTGATTTCTGGGATACCGCGCTCACTCTGATCGAAGCTCTGAAAAATAAGAAAGCTAAAACAGATGTGAGTTTGTTAGTCACTTTGGACCAAAAAGAAACTTAGAATATGGATACATTGATTATAGATTCAATTAAGCCAAGACCATTTTAATTTTTCTTTTATCAAAAGAGTCATGTCGTTCTTACTTTGAAAATGTCATTATCAATACTTAAGTGGTCAAGGACGTTTCTTTTGTGACAAAAATATAGCCACCATGTCATGTCATGCTCTTCCTCCAATATAAAGAGCTGCATTTGTAGCAACATTTTTCATTTTGATATCTTATTACCTGTATAATTTGTAACACAGAGAGTCTTGAATGATACATACAAAATATAAACAACATTTCTTAATATAAATGTACATAAAATATTTTATGTAGGAATTCAGAGTGTATTTTAGTTGGCAGTAAAATATGGGTATAACCTCGATAACCTCAATAGATAAGATATAATCTAACATTTGTTTTTAATCATTGTATATTAAAGCATAGTATAGCTGCTAAACTCACAAAAGCTGATCAGGCTTTGAAATCTGATAGTTTAAGAAAGTTTAGAGCCAGCTGGAATAGAATGAGAGATACAGTCTTTGATCTTGTGAATCACATGGACAGAATTACCACTGTGAGTTAGAGGAAATCTACTGTATCTTGCTGTAACTTGTACATTTCACCATCATGAATAACTGCTGACTCAGCTTTATTTCAGAGCTATTTGGAAAGGATGATTGTTGAAATAATATTCAAAAGCAAGGGTGAATGGAGACTTTAGAGCAGTTGATGTATGCTTATTGACTGAGCTACATCTTGAGTTTTTTAAAATTAAAGTGGTGTGTAAGGTAACGCTTTATTGTAGCACTCTCTTGCTGCGAAGCTGATTAGAGAGCAGCCAAAGCCTAAAAGAGGCGTCCTTCAGCAAGTTTATGAATCCAGGAGACGTACTATGGAAACAATGCTTAACTTAGCTGCACACTGGGGAAACCTTTATAATGTGAGTGAATGCCTCTGTGTTTTCTCCATATATATGTGCACTAAAACCCATTCGTGATTTCCAGTATTCGCAAGGTTTAAAGCTCATGCGTCAAGGTGGACCAGACGGTCCAGCAAAACGTGGTGTGATGTCACAAGTTTCCGGATCCAAAGAGAGGATTATGGCAGCCATGATGAATTTAGCGGAGCAATGGAATAATCTTGATAGTGTGAGTGTAGATTATACAGTACTCGAGAGGCTTCCTTTATAGGGACTTTATCTTTCAGCACGTCTTAGCAGCTAACCTCATTAAAGAGGAGACCTCAAGGAAACGGGGAGTGCTACCAAGGATTCAAGGATCCAAACAACGTGTCATGGAATCTGTTATCGACTTGCTTAACCACTGGGATAACCTTGACAGTGTGAGTTCATATATTGAGTCATTTACAACATGTATGCACAGTTTCAAAATTAACCTTTTTGCAGCATTCGATTGCCGCAAAACTTGCAAGAAAGGAACGCTTTAGCAGAATGGAGGTCAGTGAAAAGGTGAAAGGAAGTCGATATAGAGCCATTGCAGCTGCCCATGAGCTTCTCAATCATGCAAATAACCTATATAATGTGAGTTCCATAGACCTTAGTCCACCTTTACATGCATTTCATGTTCTCACCTCATTTTAGCATACACTTGCAGCAAGGCTTACAGCTAAGGATATGACACCAGGTGGCACCACTGATGCATTATCCAAGTTTGGGTCAAGCAAACAACGGGCGCTCCAGACAGGCTTTCAGCTTATTGCACATGCAATGAAAATTGACAATGTGAGTTGCGTTGTTCTGCACCTTTTGCTCACATGTACATGTATTTGAGCCATTATTATGGCAAAGCCCATCCACGCTTATGAGTCCTTTACTTTCAACATTTATCTCAGAGTATGTTTCCAGTATGAGTTAGGGTCATCACTTCTTAGGAAGGACAGAGGTACAGAGCCAGTCAGCAGTCCTTTGGGGAAGCTTCAAAGTGGATATGAACGACTTTTGAGGCACGTACATGAAGCAATAGACCTTATGTCAATTTATAAGAATGTGAGTGAAGTAATGTCTGTCATAACATGTGACTTTGATATCTTCATATGTGTTGCATGATATTTTATTAATTTTCTCCATTTCAGCCTTTCTATACTATTACCAATATCTAATAGCTGGCCTGCAACATATAGGATTGTTAGACATTGATAAATTGATAGATATGTTGGGATACATGCATCATATTAGGTTCATCATTTAATAATTGAAATTTTATTTTGTAGGAAAAATAAACCTTTTTTTAGAGAATTTTATTTTCCTTGGCAAATCAATATATTTTATGATCACAAATAATGTAAGGGATATTACAGTACAACCTAGGCTCAAGGCTAATGCAAAGAAATGCCAAACAAGAACCTTCCAGCTCTTCCTTGAGGAACCTCAGAGGAAGCAGACAGAGGCTCATTAACCATGTAATGGATGCCGTCACCCTTATCAACAGTTATGACAATGTGAGTGTCTTTATAAAATACACATCAGTTGATTCCATAATGTCTAAAAATTGTTTGGAATTTACAGTATAGTTTAGGGTCAGCGCTCATGAAGAAGGATGTTGGACCAGAATCCTCTAACTCTTCACTGAGAAATCTTAGAGGTAGCAAGCAGAGGCTGCTCAGCCACATTATGGATGCTGTAAACCTCTTCCACAATTATGACAATGTGAGTTTCACTTGTAAACAATATTGGGTAGATTCAGTAATGATAATGAGTCTGAAACTGTTTGGGATATTTTAGTACAATCTAGGGTCAAGGCTTATGAAGAAGGACATCAAGCAAGGCCCATCGAGCTCATCCCTGCGGAACCTTAAAGGAACCAAACAGCGACTCTTCAGCCTTGCCACTGAGGTCATTAACCTCTTCAACAATTATGACAATGTGAGTTTGAATTGTAACACATATATGTCATCTGAGTTGTATGTATTTGATCTCAGTATGATATAGGTCGGGGTCTGATGCAGAGGGCTATTTCAAACACTGCTGATGGAGTTAAAGGTCTGATGCCACGTGTCCGCAGTGGACGCCACAGAGCTGTACAGTTAATGCTCGATGCAGCAATGCTTGCTGATAACTACCACAATGTGAGTGATATAAATAATACCACTGATGTTCATATCCATGTAACTGAAACTTCTTTTACAGTATAAGTTAGGGGCCAGGTTGATGAGGACAAATACAGGGCAGGATCAAGCTAGGACTTTACGTGGGGGTTCCGAGCGAACAATGAAACTGGCCTTTGATGCTATTCAACTGTCAGCGGCATATGATAATGTGAGTGCCATTGTGGAATCACAATCCAATATACATATGTTTTATAATGAATAGATTGAATTACAGTATGATTTAGGTGTTGGGATAATGCAGAGGAGTGGGGGAGTTGAGAAGGGAGGGATGAAGCAAGTTCGTGGGAGTCAAACAAGACTTATGAGGCTCATAGTTGATGCTGCAAACCTTATGGGAAAATTTAATAATGTGAGTCAGTGTTAAAATGTATATGTACAATTATTGTATAGAATATCATGTTGCATGATCATTTACTAATGTTATTTATTTTTTAGGTATGAATCAATATTATAATTTTTTAACTGAAAATGTTATTTAAAAATTAATACAAAGTTTATTTTGCAGCTTTAGAATCACATACATTATATTTGGGCAGTGTTGTAATGATTGTCAATCCTTAAGTATTCTCAAATCAACTGGTATTCTATGTCTTCCTCAACTATGTCATTTATAGCACACTCTAGGTGCAAAGCTTAGTGATCCCAAGAGTCACATTGTTGATGCAGAACCAGATGTAGCTCACAGTTATAAGAGAATAGACAGTGTTATATACAACCTTTTGGAGCTCTCTGCTAATTTGAGAAATGTGAGTTCTAATTTTAATGAAAAAGTCTTGAATTATATGTGTGTGCAATAATGATGATTTAGCATCAGTCCATGTGTCCATATGTCCACATCTAGTATATCAAATTAAATTGTGATTTGGTGACCCTATTCACTGGAAGTTTGCAGTTTAGCTGCAATAGCGAAACAACTAGCAAGGATGCGGATGATTTCTTTATTTCAGCAAATCACTGTAATGCATTAGTAGTGCAGTAGTGAATTATATCATAAATAGTACTTTTAATGAATTTTGTTTTAAAGTGTCTCACATATTCGATCAAAAATTGCCATGCAAACATTATAGTCTACTTTACTGGCCCCCCTTGCTGTAACAAGGAACACAAAACACATTAAAACGTAAACATAAACCAATTAGTCACTTCACTATGCAAGTGAGGGATGTTACGCTGTGTGCACGGACAACACAATATCAGTGGTCATACTGTGTCAACTTAGTAACCCTTGCATATCGTGCTCACTCAAGTATTGAATAATTTTTTATGATCTAAATGTTTGTGGTTTATAAAAAATGTGATGTATTTTAGTTAGAAATACATTAATTAGTATATTCATTCAAACAGCACTAGAATGCGGGAAGAAAGAGCAATGGTGACAAAATGCAGACAGAATTTTCCGTAAGGGTTTCAAACATTTCTGGACACAATCATACATGTACTTCATGTGTACTGTTATTTTTAGTGCTGTATTTATCGATATAATTTCACGTATTAAAATCATATTTTCCAGCAATGACTTCAAGTTCGGAACCACACCCATATCAAATTTTCTTCAATAACTCCAAACATGTGTAAACATTGACCATGTGCATATAAATTCAGATTTCACAAGCTCTTTCCTATTCGAGTACCTCATACACCCCTGCATGGATTTGAGTTGGATTCGCCTTTTTATACGTGAGCCGGTACACATCGCAAACGCTGATTGGATAAAGATTGCGAGAATCTTTAATTAGAAGATTGAAATGGGCAGTAATATCTAGCTTGAATAACTATGAATAGTAAATGTTATTCATTTAAGTTCGGTATAAATTATTGGTTGCTATTAATGTAGTTTTGACACTGTTTACACATAGATAAGTAGCCATAGTAAAAATATGTGTTAGAATTAAAATGATCACAACTAGTTAATACTTGCAATGAGTCTGAACAAGCTGGGGCAGTCTGGGGGTTAGCTAAATTATTGAAATTATGAATTTCAGTTGTAATATGTTGTGTATACTAGAATACTAGGATTTTACTATAGATATACAGTTATGTCTAGATGGTTGGTCTAGGTGGCTTGCGTAATGGTTATTTAGTGTTTTGCATGGTTGTAATTTGTGTTGGCTTGCATGGCTGTTGGCATGCATGAGTCAGTGGTTAAACCTGGATCAATTTTGTCATATCAATGCTGTAGTCATAGCATAGCGATCATTCTACATGTTACATATTTTACCATACTTAACTTTCAATCATTCTACCATAAAACATATCACCAATCAACCTTTTGTTCATCTTCCATCCTTCTTTCATGATCGAAGCTCATGAGTAATATATATGATTTTCATATATGATGCAGATTCAGTTAGGGTTGGCAGCCATTATTCAAACTAAATATTCTGTTTCATTCAGTGGAACAATTTAGTAAAATTATTTCTATAAAGTTATCTTTGGACCAAGTATTTCGTTGAAAGATGGTCATTACGGATATCATGGTAGTATTCAAGCTTCTTCAGAAGTTGTAGTCTTCAAAATATGAGTAATATTGTTACAAAATTGGTCTACGGTGGGCAATGGAGTAACGAGTTTGAATAACGGCTTCCAATCCTCCTTGGTTCAGAGTCATCTTGCATCAAACCCCTACCCCAGAGATTATAGTTGGATAAAGGGGCTTGATGCTCATTATATAGCATGTATCTAACCTATCCTTAACGAGATGGAACATTAAGTATTTTTTGCGATGATATGAGTATGCTCTATCTTTGCATGTTGTGTTGTTGTATGTGTTTTTAGAATATGCTTTAGCTTTGCCGCATTGTTGTATTGTAGAGTGGTGCAGAGAAGAAATATACAAGTCTTAAAGATATTGAAACATCTCTCCTAAATTTGGCAGATGGGTACAATAATATGTCTGACGTGAGTTACAGAGTTACAGAGTTCAATTTTAGAATAATGGCACATATTCTTTTTTGGTATTGCTTGCTAAAGTTTTAATTAACCCTCTTTTTTTGTTGTTTAGTTTGGGGTCAAAATAAGTTGACCACATTTAACTTTTGTTGCTTATATACTAACATTTTTACTCTGTTTTGCAATATAAAATATTGAGCAATGATGCATGAAAAAGGGTCTTACCACATTTGATAAAAGTGAAATTTGTATGTATACAGGGGCAAAAAATACATAATACAGAAGTAAATAAGAAGTCTAAAACTACTTTAGAAATAAAAAGTTAGATGATGATACCTCCTTTCTCTTCACTTTAAGTTCATTTGTTTCATGAAATTATAGTTGTAAAACTGCACAAACAATTTATAGTTGATGAAAACACAGAACATAGACTTTTAATATGAGACAGCAGTCAATATGAAAAAGAAATGTTATAGATGGCGAAAGTAGTTTTGATCAGGCTTGTATGCCATTCCTTTACATGAAGAAACTGACAAAGATTACTTTATTTCTTAATTTATCAAATGTTTCCCATTACATTTATGTAAAACTTGATTGACTTGCATCTAGTCTAGATTCTAGTTGATATTGTTGACATGCAGATAGTATTTAACCTATAAATTCTGGTTATTGAAAGTATATATCATATTCAGAAAACCTAAAAATTCAGTGGTAATTGAATACTAGAAAGTAACTGAAATCAGTTGTGTTACTCAATCACTGATGTAATATATATTTCCAGTTTTTTGAAATGCAGTAGTATCATAGTTAGCCATAATACGTGTTTGGTATTTTTTCTTCAGGCGGATGCGGAACAAACAGGAAACCAGTCTGTTAACTTAACTGGGTTGCAAGAGACCGTCAAGGTATCCCTGCACACTCTATGCAGATAACTATGAGTGAACTGTTTCTTAAATTTTATGGGCCATACATTCCAGCACTGTACTAAAAATACTTATTATGGTTTCATCTTTCCTTTTGGTATACTATTAATATTGATATGTTTGATTTCATTCTTAGGTACACCCAAGGATTTCTTTATTTTCATCAATTCCTAACAACACACTAAAGTATTTGCAATAAGTTTATGAAAACAAATATATGTTTTTATTTTATTAGTGTAGATAATATTGTGGTTAATTTGAAGCACTAGTATTGTTTTGAAGCACATGTCAAACACTAGCCTAAACTGTCAAATACAGATTATATTATGAACATGGTAGCTTACAATAGATCCACTTTTCTCGTTAATTTAAGAGATATCATTCCGATAAAATTAATTTTATCGTTTGTCTGAATGCATGTGTAGCCTACAGTTAGATTTATAATGGATGATAGTACAGTAGTATGATAATATATGACTTCAGTATGTGCAGTTTGATCCGATTTGTCCCGATTGATATGGATTCTTTGTGTTTTGTTCATGAAGGCCTAATGGCTTACAGCATTTTAAAGTCCTTTAAATGCTCCAGATTTATTTATTTATCATTTATTAAAAATTCATTTAAGTAAAAAGCAATTGTTAATTTGTTATCAATAGTCAGATCATGGTTGGAAATGTGTATTATATTGAGATGATCTTATCAAAACAGTTTTAACACCACTTGAATTTATCTTTTATTTATCAGCAAAAATACCACTCACTCCCTTAATTTTTTAATTAAGATTTAATTTGATTTAATTTTGAACAGACCATGATAGACAGATTTTATGAGATAATAGATGACTCAAAGAAGGCCTCTCTGGCCACAGAGGAACTCTTTATTGAGGTGTTTGGTGTAAGTAACGCATAATGGTTTTCAGTAACGTTTATTGAAGTGTGAATAACATTCCCATAAGCCTCAAGATATTATGGTTGCCATTTTTTACTTACTTCATGTACCTATGTAATAAATACAATATTACATTTTGTGACGGAACTGTCAAATAATGGTTATAATTGTCATAATATAATATGTAATATGTCATTGTTGTCAATCATCTATGCAGATTCAATCATAATTATATCCCATATCTTTGTAAATAGTATTTGGAGAAAATGACCCTTAAGAAAAAAGCCATGATGACCATGGTATTCCATTGTACATCCATGATATTCCTTGGTAATCCATGTTTTTATGGTAATTCATGGTTTTTCCATAGTATCTTCCATTTAATTTCATCTTACAATTCCATGGATATTTATCACCTACCATAATATGTTCAGGTTTTAACTGAGTTATCCGCTGAATGACTGACTCCTATTAAAGAACATAAAACAAATCATATTATGCAAAGCTATTCATAAAACTAATAATTTTGATGTGATGCTGAATGACTGACTCCTATTAAAGAACATAAAACAAATCATATTATGCAAAGCTATTCATAAAACTAATAATTTTGATGTGATGCTGAATGACTGACTCCTATTAAAGAACATAAAACAAATCATATTATGCAAAGCTATTCATAAAACTAATAATTTTGATGTGATGCTGAATGACTGACTCCTATTAAAGAACATAAAACAAATCATATTATGCAAAGCTATTCATAAAACTAATAATTTTGATCCATGATGCTTATTCATGGATCAAACAGCAAACTTACATCCAACTAATAAACAAAACAAACAAATAAACGATCTGCATTCTTTTCACAACACTGAGTCTCTGTTTTTGCTAAATCCTCGCAAATCAACTCAGTTCTCATAAACAAGAACAAGGTAATTCTACTGAGATGGCTTGGTGTTTGTATATCATCAGTATATAAACCTACAATGTACATAATTTTCTACATGTGAAATTGATTATTTCCTCCACTTGGCCTTCCTTAATCTTTATTAATAGCGTGATCAGAGAATTGATATGTCTCTGTGTGATTTCTTCTTACTGACAGGCTGTGGTATCTATTTTTATTTTTGCATGGAAATTGATGCGTAACATTTTGATTTTTCATTTGTAGGTTTCCAGAGAATGATGTAAATATTTTAAAGAGTGTTCAGATTTTCCTAAGCAATTATTGCTTTCCCTGATATATCTAGATAATTTAATACTTTGCATATAAATTAATTAGATTAACTTAATTAATACAGTCTTGGTAGTTTAATAGTATTTTCGATAAATATTCTGTAGTTGTTTTAAAATAAATCTGTAAAATATCCTCACTAAGGAATGTTTGGTTGAATATAACAAATTTAATTTTTTTTTAATTTTTATAAATTAAGTCTTTATGAAGAAAATTTTCAGCATTTTTAATGCTAAATGAATATATTTATGTGTGGTAATGAGGGCCGGTAATTCATTTTTAGCATGTTTTTATACCTATTGTTATGTTTTGTACTTTGTACATGCTTTTGTTGTGTTCTGTGCTACGCTTTAAACTTGTTAATTCAACCTAAAAGCAGATACCAATGAAATAAAGTTAATATCATTTTGAATATTTGAGTAAAATTTGTTATATCTCCTACCCAACATTTCTTAGTATTTCTTTCCTCTCTGGGCCATAGCCAGCTATAAGAAACTGTTAGAATTGCAAGTCAAAATGCCTCAGAAAAATTGAAGAATGAAAAATGTGACATCTTTGGAATTGATCAAAATAAGACATACACTCACCAAACAAATTATCAAAACAATACAAGACTGGGATACATCAGTGTTTTAATTTAAATGAGTATATTTATTCCAAATAAATGTACAATGTAGGTTATTTCATGGCAGGGAGGGAATATGAATTTTATTCTGAGGGAAAATATGATATTGGTCAATGTAAAGTATCAATATATGATATTTTCATCATCATATTTTCTCAAGGAAAAATTCATATTCCATCACGACCATCAATAACCTATTTACTCCATAATAACTTTTCTGACTTTACAATTGACTTGACTTGACTGATCTGGCTATGTCTCAGCCATTCTTTCACATTTGTTCAATTGTTCTGGTACTTGATGTGTTTCAGTTAGAGGGGCAGGTGTTTGTGGTACGCAAGGGCCTGGAGCGCTCAGTGCAGAATCTACAACAACTTACAGCAAAGACGGACTGTAGTGGCATTCACGGGGATTATGTTGATGCACTAGAGGGGGCCTGCTACATGGCACTGTGAGTTAAAAGTTTTGCTATTGCCTTGTCGAAATGATATTCTTGGGACATGAACAAATCACACATATTCAGATGTGATAAATAAACCAAATACATGTAATGCAAATATTTCAAGCTATTGAGGTGAATACAAGTGCTTCTTTGACAAGTCATAATTCCATGAAGTGAATACAATAAGTGAAACAATACTAAATAATTTCCAATTATATGATTAGTTGAAAATGCATCAGTTGACATGAAACTTCCTGTGATATTTTCCTGTGATGCCAACTGTTCATTGGTAAATGAGTGAGCCTAAGTTTTGGAGAGCAGCCATCTTGATTTCTCTCATCCAGGACTTTTCATGATTTCCTGACTGAAAAATCACTAGTCCTGCATCTAATTTCAGGACCTTTCCAGAAGGTGAAGTGTTTTAAGGAGGGACACAAGGGCTTTCTTTAAGGTGGTGTAAAAAGAGATGTAATTGCTCACTAAACTTATATGATTTTTATGTTCCATATATCTTCAGGCCAGGTGTTGCATTCCTTCTATTGTCAGCACTTCTTGTTGGCCTCTTTCTGACTGCACTCATCGTCATGGTAACTGTTGCCTGGGGACGCATCAGTAAAAGGTAAAAGTATCACTTTAATATCAAGTGAAGTGTTTTACCCAATATTTTTCTGAACTGCTTTAGAATTCTCATTTTACCGATTCCGAAACATACAAAAGTGGACAAAGTGTCGTCATTTTTATGACACCAATTTCAAATTGGGCACAAATGAATTTTCAGATTCGCAATTTAACAGTGCATGCAGGTCTAGTATTTTGTGTTTTCCCTTCTCAGGCCTGTGACACAGATATTTTAAAAGTACTTAACAAGATGCACACTAGATCATAAAATGAGTGGACCTAAGACTATGAGAAAATTTGGTAACCAACAATTATTTTATATTTGCAGAAAGGGTTACTACGAGATAGATGAGAATGACCCTTACATGCCACGCGCTGACACAACATCACCAACGTACTTCAGGTATGGGTCACATAATAGTCTCAACCGTGCCCCTCCCAACAACAACACACATGAGCCTCATTATCATACCTTACCCACGTGAGTAGTCATTTAGAAGTAGACATGGTGGCGAGTCATCTTGATTTCAGAGCGCATCCTAGCTTTCATCATTTCATGAATGATTATATTAGATTTGTGCTAGTTTTATTTAGCATAAGGTCTGAGTTTCATTGATTGATTATTCAAGTATAGATGATGTGAAGTTTGTGTATTTTGCAGTTGCTTGAAATAAGATGATCAGTCCCCAGTGGTCTTTTCTGCCATCTTTTGGCCAGTTTGCTTATATAGCCTCAAACCCCACAATAGTCTCAAGCAAAAATGTTTCAGTCATTCACTCTATGTTGTAAAAGTGTTGTTTGCTTGTTTTCACTGAAATTGTCATTTATTGTCACTTATTATTATTTGTTCACTAATCACAGTTTTTCTTCATTAATTCACAATTGTGTTGATTTCACTAGTTTTGTGTCATAAATTTGTGTTGAATAGATGTTGCACTCATTTAACCATGGAGAATTCAATTGGCAATGTTGTGTTTAATATAATTTTATTAGACGTTAAAAAAGAGTAAAATTTCTCAAAAGTCACTTTAATTATGCATTATAACATATTTAACATGAAGCAATGTCTTACAATCAAGCTTTATTATATAGTTTTATAACTTTTCCTTGCTGAGAAATGTGTTTTATATACACTGTAATGCACATTGATGGCAACAAAAAGGAATTGAACATTTGAAAACTATTTCATGAATTCTCTTTTTTTCAATGTAATACCAGGAGGTATGTGTTCCAAAATAGATTTCATATTTGCTTTCAATATTATTTCTGATTCATTTTAGTTAATAGTTAACTGTAGCTGTATTTGCGTTCTATTTTACATAGATTGCTTGATATTCTTTCATAACCGATTTTGCTTGATGTATGACATTTTTAGTCTTTGTGGTAATATTACTTTCTGGCAAATTAGTCTCTAGTATAACTTAGAACGTTTATGTGTTTAACAACATAGAGGACTGACATTCTCAACTAATGTATGGGGGCAGAGGATTAAAAGCAGCTAGTCTATCGATGCATCTAAATGGCTACTCGGTAACTTGTTGCTATGGCAACTGTGCATGCAGGTTATTTTAATCAATCAATTGTGTCATAATTCTCTAATTCTTTAAATGTGTACAATGTTGATTGATTACTTAGGCCTAGCAGAAAGCATGGCTAATTCAAAGAAAATTCCAAGTTTTTGTATTTGAAATATATTTCCATGTTTATATTTAGGTACTGAATGATGCATGTATAACTTAGTGTTTTCACTTGTAATCTTGGCACTTTTTATTGCATCAATTTTACCTTCCACTGTGACCTTTTGTATTGTAACCTTTCAATAACTGACAATATTAGCGTATTTCTGGTGAGGGTTTGTTCTATTCTACTCAAAACAAGCACCTGTTTTATCAGTTACTTTTCAGTTACACCTCAAATGTGACAGCATATTGTTAACCCCATGTCACAACACACTGACAATATTATCCAAAAGCTGTTCATAACCTTAGCACCTACTACATCATAATCTTTAACTTACACTTTAAATGTAACCATTAATCTGGCAATGGTTATTTTCTTTTACACTTAATTAAAATCTCAGTGCTGTTCCATCATACTTTTTACACTGCCAATCTGACAAACTGCAACTTAATCTTTAACTTACACTTTAAATGTTACCATTAATCTGGCAATGGTTCTTTTCTTTTATACTTAATTAAAATCTCAGTGCTGTTGCATCAATGACTTTACACTGCCAATCTGACAAACTGCAACTTAATCTTTAACTTACACTTTAATGTTACCATTAATCTGGCAATGGTTCTTTTCTTTTATACTTAATTAAAATCTCAGTGCTGTTGCATCAATGACTTTACACTGCCAATCTGACAAACTGCATCATAATCTTTAACTTACACTTTCAATGTTACCATTAATCTGGCAATGGTTCTTTTCTTTTATACTTAATTAAAATCTCAGTGCTGTTGCATCAATGACTTTACACTGCCAATCTGACAAACTGCATCATAATCTTTAACTTACACTTTCAATTTTACCATAAATCTGGCAATGGTTATTTTCTTTAACACTCAATTAAAATCTCAGTGCTGTTGCATCATACTTTACACTGCCAATCTGACAAACTGCATCATAATCTTTAACTTACACTTTCAATGTTACCATGGCAATGGCTATTTTCTGTTACACTTAATTAAAATCTCAGTGCTGTTGCATCATACTTTACACTGCCAATCTGACAAACTGCATCATAATCTTTAACTTACACTTTCAATGTTATCATGAATATGGCAATGGTTATTTTCTTTAACACTTAATTAAAATCTCAGTGCTGTTGCATCATACTTTACACTGCCAATCTGACAAACTGCATCATAATCTTTAACTTACTCTTTCAATGTTACCATTAATCTGGCAATGGTTCTTTTCTTTTATACTTAATTAAAATCTCAGTGCTGTTGCATCAATGACTTTACACTGCCAATCTGACAAACTGTATCATAATCTTTAACTTACACTTTCAATGTTACCATTAATCTGGCAATGGTTCTTTTCTTTTATACTTAATTAAAATCTCAGTGCTGTTGCATCAATGACTTTACACTGCCAATCTGACAAACTGCATCATAATCTTTAACTTACACTTTCAATTTTACCACAAATCTGGCAATGGTTATTTTCTTTAACACTCAATTAAAATCTCAGTGCTGTTGCATCATACTTTACACCGCCAATCTGACAAACTGCATCATAATCTTTAACTTACACTTTCAATGTTACCATGGCAATGGCTATTTTCTGTTACACTTAATTAAAATCTCAGTGCTGTTGCATCATACTTTACACTGCCAATCTGACAAACTGCATCATAATCTTTAACTTACACTTTCAATGTTACCATGGCAATGGCTATTTTCTGTTACACTTAATTAAAATCTCAGTGCTGTTGCATCATACTTTACACTGCCAATCTGACAAACTGCATCATAATCTTTAACTTACTCTTTCAATGTTACCATAAATCTGGCAATGGTTATTTTCTTTAACACTTAATTAAGAATCTCAGTGCTGTTGCATCATACTTTACACTGCCAATCTGACAAACTGCATCATAATCTTTAACTTACACTTTCAATTTTACCATAAATCTGGCAATGGTTATTTTCTTTAACACTCAATTAAAATCTCAGTGCTGTTGCATCATACTTTACACTGCCAATCTGACAAACTGCATCATAATCTTTAACTTACTCTTTCAATGTTACCATAAATCTGGCAATGGTTATTTTCTTTAACACTTAATTAAAATCTCAGTGCTGTTGCATCATACTTTACACTGCCAATCTGACAAACTGCATCATAATCTTTAACTTACACTTTCAATGTTACCATAAATCTGGCAAGGGTTCTTCTCACACTCAGTTTAAATCTCAGTGCTGTTCCATCATACTTTACACTGTCAATCTGCCAAACTGCATCATTATCTTTAACTTACACTTTCAATGTTACCATTAATCTGGCAATGGTTATTTTCTTTTACACTTAATTAAAATCTCAGTGCTGTTGCATCATACTTTACACGGCCAGTCTGACAAACTGCATCATACTCTTTATCTTACACTTTCAATGTTACCATAAATCTGGCAATGGTTATTTTCTTTTACACTCAATTTAAATCTCAGTGCTGTTGCATCATACTTTACACGGCCAATCTGACAAACTGCATCATAATCTTTAATTTACACTTTCAATGTTACCATAAGTCTGGCAATGGTTCTTTTCTCTTACACTCAATTTTAATCTCAGTGCTGCATCATACTTTACATTGCCAATCTGACAAACTGCATCATAATATTTAACTTACACTTTCAATGTTACCATAAGTCTTTCAAGGATTCTTTTCTCTTACACTTATTTAAAATCTCAGTGCTGTTGCATCATACCTTACACTGCCAATCATAGTGTTTTTAGACACTCAAAAGCTCTTTATGTAATACTTCTTTAATGCACTGTCTATATGTATTGATGCATAGTATAAAATGCACATTATATGTCTATTGTCCTGTCTATCAATATACCAGTCTTTACCTTTGGCATTGGCATACATAATGGGCTGAACATTTGCTAAATATCAAGGGTGTGACAATATAAGCCTTTACCTTAATCTTGGCTAGTTGATTTTTAGCATGTACATACAAGGTGAGCCTAAAAAGGTAACCCAAACAAATTACTGAGTCATTCAGCATGGGTATAAAAGTATATTTGGTAGAATTAGCCTTGTTCAATGTTCTTTCATCCTACCTTGTTTTATTGGTCTATTTCAATTGATCATAATTTTATTGCCATTTTACAAAATATGTTCCGAATGCCAGCTTTTCCTGTTGAGCAAACTTGGGTGAAGTTTTTTCAAAGATAATGCCAACACTAACAACTCTAGAAGCATTAGAGAGTTTAAACATAAGAGATAAGAAGATGAGAGTCATTACACAGCTTATCTTAAAGCATGTAGTGAACAACTTTGCCAGATCAGGCACAGGCACAAGTTTGCCTCCATCAAGTTTGTCTCCAAAGACAAGGCCATCACTTGGAGCATGTTTCATAAAATTTGACTACTTGGAATAGACAAATGTATCTTAGTATAATGAAATATTTTATTATTACATATAAAGCCAAATATGACCCTTGCTGAATGACTGAGTTTTTATGTCGCCACAAGAAATGGTGGCATATTGTTATAGTCTTCGATTTATTTGTGGACAGTGTTTGGCAGTTGGTGTTCGGCAGTCTTCATCTGTTATAAATGGCAGATTGTGACATCTTGCATGTTACATTTTTTCAGCTACCTTTTTTGTCTCACCCTGTACATGTATTGAAATCTTTATGATCCACCCTTGTAATATGCCATTGTCTGGCCACATATTGCATGCCTCACTATTTCACCTGATCAATCTGCACCTATTGCAATTGTTATATCATATTCATAAATATGAAAAGTTGTGTGTGATATAACATACAATACATTATTAAGTACCTATGCATTTGGATTTTACATGCACTCTCCTTCCCACAATATAAAGCATAACACATGTGTCTGATATAACACATATAATGCATGTACCAAAGTAATGTTGTTTCCAAAATTAAAGAATAATTAATAAAATATATGTATATGATCACTTGTTAAATTTTATATGTAATTTATAATATATATTGCCCTCCCATTATAGTCCCATAGAACTCGGAAACATGTAAGGCAATTCTATATTATACAATATTCAGCACTGTTATTATATCTGTAGGGCCTTAAAATGTGAAACATCCAGCTCACATTTCAATACAATAAACAATAAATATTTGCAAATAATTGATGATAAATACTAGTATATTGGATATATTAAGTACACCATCTTGAATGTATCCTGGATATTTCACGAAAGGCCTTGCAGTATATGGATTGAAAATCTGAATTCATACTCACTCTGCTTTGAATATTATATATAGTATCGGGGAACATTTTGTATTTAATACAAAATGACCTTGTTTGGTAAATTGTTACTGTTATAGTTGAATTCAGATTTTATTCAATAAATTCACACCGTGAACTTTTATTTTAATCGTTCACCCGGAGTTTTATATTTTTCTCATTATGTTGCTATATCATCGAATTGGTTGAATTGACCTCATCTGTATTATGTCCATGTCTTTCTATAGGTCTGTATATCATTTTTGTTATTTGAATTCATGCTTCTTTTCACGCCATTCTCTGCACAGACATTTGCAATTATAAGAAATTCAATTCGCAACCAATCAATTTGCTTCCCGTTTATTTTAAATTTTAAAAATATTTATAATAGTATTTTTTTTATTATTTATTGGTTTAATTTATTTACCTTTTTTGACTTAGCTTTTTAATGTTATAAATGCTGTATTCTTACACAACAATTGGCACCCTATCTTTGATTTTTGTTCAAAAATGTGAAAAAGAGTTTATTAGGGGTTCCCCGTGCATTTATAGGGTTATTTCATGCTGAAGCTGCTTTGTCTGTAGACCCTACGTTATAATTTGGAATAGCCATCTTTGGGGATTCAAATGTTTAAAACATAGCCTCAAACTGCTGAATTTTGAATTATTGGCTAAGGTCGAAAAAATGGGAGATGTTTATGTTTAAAGGCTTGATAGAATGTAGTCGTCATTGTCCCCATCGTTGCATTAATTCAATTTGATTTATCTATTTTGAAATGATATGCTATTCTTTTCTTTCAAAAGAAACTACTGTAGTTATCCCACCGAACGAAGTTCGAGAGGGATATAGGAAAGCCGTCCGTCCGTCCGTCCGTCCGTCTGTTTGTCCGGGCGATAACTCAAATACCGTTCCACGGATTTGATTCAAATTTTATAGGCTTATGCCTTATGGGTGTAGGACCTCTGCTCGAGAAGGAATTTTCAATATGGCCACTGAATTCAAAATGGCCGCCATTTTTCTTAAAAAATGTAATCTTTAATAACTCAAATACTAGTTCGCGGATTTGGTTAAAATTTTATATGCTGATGGCTAGGGACAAAGGAGTTTCGCACAAAAAGAGATTTTCAAGATGGCCGCTTAATTTTAAAATGGCGGCCATTTTTCGTAAAAATATGTAATCTTTGATAACTCAAATACCAGTGAACGGATTTGGTTCAAATTTTATATGGTGATGCTTAGGGACACAGTAGCTATGTTCGACAAAACATTTTCAAGATGGCCACTTAATTTCAAAATGGCGGCAATTTTTCGTAAAAAACGTAATCTTTGATAACTCAAATACCAGTGAACAGATTTGGTTGAAATTTTATATGATTATGCCTAGGGACACAGTAGCTCTGTTCAAGAAATAATTTTCAAGATGGCGGCTGAATTTCAAGATGGCGGCCCATATTCGTAAAAAACGTAATCTTTCATAACTCCTATACCAGTGAACGGATTTGGCTCAAATTTTATAAGCTGATGTCTAGGGACAAAGGAGTTTTGCACAAAAAGAAATTTTCAAGATGGCCACTTAATTTCAAAATGGCGGCCATTTTTCGTAAAAATATGTAATCTTTGATAACTCAAATACAAGTAAACGGATTTGGTTCAAATTTTATATGATGATGCTTAGGGACACAGTAGCTATGTTCGACAAAACATTTTCAAGATTTCCGCTTAATTTCAAAATGGCGGCAATTTTTCGTAAAAAAACCTAATCTTTGATAACTCAAATACCAGTGAACAGATTTGGTTGAAATTTTATATGATTATGCCTAGGGACACAGTAGCTCTGTTCAAGAAATAATTTTCAAGATGGCGGCTGAATTTCAAGATGGCGGCCCATATTCGTAAAAAACGTAAACTTTGATAACTCATATAGTGAACGGATTTGGTTCAAATTTTATATGATGATGCCTAGTTCACAATGGTATAAACTAACTTTGTGCCAGATTTCATGCTTCTATCACAAAGTGCACGTCATTTCAACATTTTCACGCATAATATGTTTTGTTCGGTGGGATTTGCTACTCCGTGGAGTTGCTGTTTTTCTAGTTACTAATGGTTCCACATAGAATATGGTAATCTACAATGTACAAACAGCATGTTATATCGCTAACATTATGTTAATACAACTTTAATTTGATTTCAAGCTTTTATTATTTATTTGATAATATATTATTCTTGATAGTAAGTTTAAATTGAATTAATTGATTGAGAAAATTTAATATTTGGGATTAAAAGATTCTAGAAAAATCATGATAGTAATTTTTATCCTGAACAAAGAATTAGTTTACCATATTTATGTATTTAACAATTTAACCCAGCTCTGGACAGTTTTATTCCACTTATGTATATTAGTTGTTGTTAGTCCGTACCTGTAGCTTTAATTTCACATCTTATACAAGTCTCAAAATAGTCTCATGAACTTCAATGTTAGGGGAGGGCCATAGTCAGAATTACTGAGGCAAAATCATCCTTTTTGAAACTGAACAGATAAACATGATTTTAAAAAGTCTTTTAGAATATTCCTCGGCTCATTAATGGCTAATGCCCTAAAGGGAGTAAGATAACTAAGATCATTTAATCTCTGAGATATTTTGAAATAATCACGAGGCTTGTCAAGATGATAACTGCAGCATGTAGTTAATGATGCACTCTCTCTGTACGTGTAGCGGCTCTAATCGATACAGTAGGAACGGCCCTAGCAGTCAGGGGGGTGAACACCTAGCGATGGAACGGCGGAGTTCTCCTCCCCCCGCTGTAAGTTAACAGAATTTTATGACATCTATTAATCATCATGAAATCACTTCACCATGACTACACAATACAATAACTAGCACTTTTGAACTGGGGTAGGAATTTCAAAAATATTTCAAACCAATGTTGATGTTTTTGGATATGCTCGTTATGACAAAGTGCATTGTACCACAGAATTTGTACAGAAATATGATCAAGTGCACTGTATCACAGACTTTCTGATGTAAATAGACTGGAAATTCTCACGATTTTGGTGATCACACAGCAGCATAAGTATATGATTCACAAAAGGAACCATTAGAAAGCTAAGACATAATATTATTCCATATATGGGATGATCAGTTAAACCAGATGAAACAAGAGCATCCAGTCTATTTTTGAAAATCTGTGACTGAAATAAAAAGCATTGTAAGGTAAGGGTTAGCCCCTCAGTAAAATATCCTTAATGCAGCACTGTGCCTTTCATTTTGAGATATCTCTTTTGCCCAGAGAGTGTTGATAGATTAACATTAAGCTAAAAATAAAAACATTGTTTGAAGTATTTTGAAATTTATTTCAAATTTCTAACCTATACAGAACATTTTGTGTAATGGGGTCTATCATTTCTCTGTGCTATAGATAGCAGAATGCTTAATTAATCCAACCAAATTCCTTCTTTATTTGAATTTCCAAATGTCACTATTTTATACATTCCATTTAGATATTCAGTAGAACAGAATTTACTTTGGCAGTTCATACGCTTGTACCTTTCCTGTACCCCATCCCGTCCCAGGAGCTTATTCCTTGAAATATTGTAAAAAACATATATTGTGAAATGCCTTTGGTACCTCAAGAGTGTTCCTTGGCTGGGATATGTTCCTTTTACAAAGGTTCATTTTACAATGAGTCAATGTGTTCTGCCTATTACAGAAGTGTCCACATTCACAGGTCTAAAATGCATAACCCAGATTTTAAGTTGTATTTTTTGATGTACCTGTGACAATATCATGCTATAGAGTTATGATCTTTTTAAGGAACGGGCTCCATATTTTTATACGGGATACACATTGTTTGCCAACCCTTAATGTTGATAGACCCCTCCCCATTTCATAGCTAACCATCATGCACCATCTCTCAATATATTCTCATTGGTGCTCAGAACTATATAATGTATTTAATAGTACGAGGGGTGATCAATAAGTAATGGACGCTTTTTCAGACAGATACTTTTTATAGACCAATCCCTTTGATTTTCCTACCAGTGATACATCATTCAATTTTCTATCAATTCTGAAGATTTGAAGATAAAATATATAATACATATTGATATATCCTTATTTCCGTGAAGGAGGTACAGGTACCCCGGGACCGACATTTACGTCACATATTCAGTTTTTAGCCAGTTTGGTAAATTTCAGTTAGATTTGAACGTTTTATATACAACAAGTGTTGTGTTGTTTGAATTTTTTTGCTGACTCGTAACGCATAAACAGAAAGTATTGTATGGAAGGGGTTTGCAGGTTAATTTGAGAAAGCATTGTGGAAGAAAGGGATGGTAATAGAAGGGAACAACCTACTCCATATAGACAATGCACCTGCCCACAGATCTCAAAATGTTCAGAAAACAATATCCCTGGACCTCAAAATTGAGCCCTTGGCCAATGCACCATATTGTCCAGATCTGTCCACATGTGACTTATTTATTCCTATACTACTTATTTCTATAGAGAAAGGATGCAGGTTTATTGCCATTGATGAAATAAAACAATCCGTGCAACTGCATCTTGCTACCATGTCAGAGAATGGATTCAGCCTCGTCTCACAATCTTGAGTTAAGAGTATGAGGAATTGTGTACATGATTGTAGCACTTGATGGAACCTATTTAGAGGGCCCTGAGGACTGAATGTGGCATGAATACCACATAGTAATGATAAAATATTCAAAATCAACTATGGCATAACAAAATGGGGTAATTCATGACCATAATGGTTTGTTTTGTTCAGCCTGCATTCAACTGCATTGCGTTAAACAATCTAAAATAGCTTCAGAATATGTGACGTAAATGTCGGTCCCGGGGTACCTGTACCTCCTTCACGGAAATAAGGATATATCAACATGTAATACATATATTGTCTTCAAATCTTCAGAGTTGATAGATAATTGGATGATGTATCACTGGTAAGAAAATCGAAGGGATTGGTCTATAAAAAACATCTGTGTAAAAAAACGTCCATTACTTATTGATCACCCCTCGTATAGTATTTCAATTTCATTTGGGTTTAAAATGGTTCTGTTAATTATTAATAGGGGTTTGCTGTTTTTGTTTTTAAGATGTTTCAGGGTTTTTCAATCGAGCCTGTTTGTAGATAAAATACTTTTGGTATGAGAACACAAAATATTTGTTTGGCACCTCAAGCTCAAATTGTCACACCAAGGGAAACATTAGTTAAACACAAGAAAACCAAAAAATGGTATTGGGAAGATGGGGGAAAATTTGGAATATAATGAGAAGTTATAAGGGCACAATCATAACTAACATGCATACACATGACACATGGTGGAGGGGTTTTGTAGATGAATGAATGATTCATTATGATGTCCTAAAAATGACATTTGGACAGTTCAAAAGGTTTGTTGTAATTTGTAAAATAACTGATTTTAACATTATATTCCTTTTTCGAATACAATAGGAGCTACACTGTAAATACAAATATGTAAATGTTGAGATTGTATTGTATTGCAAGATATGAAATGTATAAATTGAAATAGCTAAAAATATGAACTATTTGTTTCATTTCTTAATTAAATATTAATCAATAAAAACATGTTTTTAATCAATGCGAATAATGTGCTTCCAAATGTTACTTGCTTCAAAGCTTCTATGCAGAACATCTTTCCTTGCTATTTATAATGTGTTAAGTCTGGTGTTGTATTTGCCATTTCGTTACCACCTAAATATCAAATAGACTACCTATATATGGTGTCCAAAGTGCTGCATATGGACATGTTTATCACTAGAAAGAACATGTGAAACCATTTCTGACAAACCAGAAATCAGAAATTATTAATACCCAGTAATATAATATAGAAACCCAACTTTATATATTTGGCTCATAAGGGATTTTAAAATTGGTAATCCTCAAGTCAAAAGATCAAATTCATCCATGGAGGGGAGGAGGTGTATTGTATATTTTGTTCATCGGTGGTAATGAAATATCTCTTAACAAGACACTATTTATCTAGCAATCTAAGATGACCTCTTCAAATATATATGTGTAGTCTCGCTTATATACACCATAATGTTCATTTGATTGAGTTATGGATTATGCATCTAGTGCACATTTGAAAGCATCATTAAAAATAGGTCATACCTTTGTTTTTGAGTTTCAAAGTAAATGATTAGATCAAACAATTTATCAAATGATTGTTATCAAAATATTATTTCTGTTAAAGTAAATAACCAGAAAATGGTGCCCTGTTCTATTCTTTTAGTTAGTATGTTGCGTAGTAGTCAATGTAGTGTATACTTTATTTCCTGTTTCTGCCCTTGGTCTTTCATCTTGACCTTCTTCTACATTAGGTGCTAACCACTAAAGATGGCACTATGCTATATTTGTGGGTGGGTAGCCTGGTGAACTGATTTCTTCTGGCAAAACTCAATAATTATTCCTTCTTAATGAGGTGTGTCCAAAATTGTTCATTGAATATTATGAACAAATGAATTTTGATTTACCCTTTGAAAGTCAATCAAATTATATCAAGAATCGTGATATGCCTATATAATTGTTGAGTTAAGGCTAGATTTGAGCATGTAGTGGCTAAAGCAATCAAGAAAAAGGTTTCATTTGAAATTTGGTCCGGTATCCTGCTTTGGTATGACCCAACGCTTTCAAGAGATTTTGCGAACAAGAAATTGCTTTAACCAAAAAATTTTAAGATAGATGTTAGAACTTCAAACTAATATAGATCTTCACATGCGCTGATTTAAATGTAGCATTTAGGTTTCGTGGATGTTTCAGTTTGATTTACCTATCAGCAAAATACAAGCTTTCCTGAAGTTTTATATCAGATTTGTTCTTAGTATCCACAAAATAATTATATAAGCTTTTACCTAATTTCTTGAGACCTTCAGATCCTTTCCTCATCAAGCATTTCTGAGCATTGCTTTTGATTGTTTGGGCCGTAGCTTTTGGTGGAAGACCTAGCAGTTCCTAGACAACTATGTCAATTTCAATTTTTTTCATCTTAATTTCAATGTTCAATTTGCTTAGTTGTCAAGGAAGTGCTAGAAGCTCAACTTGTAGAATGTTTCCATGCTATTGTGTATTGTCTCTATATAAGACTGAAGTGGCCATGTTTGGTTTTAGCTGACACCGAGTGCCCCAGATCCGCTATTTTACCCATCACCATATGAGAGAATGGTGTCTGCTTCTGAGGCTGAAGAAACGGAACTTGGGGATGATGCAGCTTCTTTTCCCCCTGAGAGCCCCTCACATGTAGATAGTTCAAACCCCAAAAATGGGGCTCACAATTCCCACAATGCAACGTGAGTTTGAATGACCATTCATGAGTGCTTTGGGCTTTACCTGTACTATCACACTAACTTCCTCTTGATGTGTCCAAAGTTGGGTCACTTACATACCTACTTGCTCATCTGATACTTGCTCAGCTTACCCTAACCTTGACTAGATGATGAAGAATACCCCAAAAATGTCCAAAGTGGTCTCAACTGAATAAAGTGAAAATGGCAACGGAGTACACATCATTTGAGTAGCTAATGACACTGTTTGCATGAAGCCATTTAGGGAATTTTTTTTATTTCAATCTAGCCTTTGCACAAAGTCTAGTCAGTCTCACCATAGCTACAATGGTATATCTTATTTCCTCAACATATGTTTGAAACTGATTTGTTTTAGACTTAATAGAAGTTTCCATGGTGTCACTTGATTCATGATGACCAGACATTTTAGAAGTATTCTCATCATGTAGGAGCATGGACAAATCCAAACACTCACCAGGACTC